TGAAGTGTCAGTGACTTCTAAGTTGATCCCTGATCTACATTTTTATGATATTGTTATATAAATAAGTTTTAATATCCTGCTTACAACTAATTCAGTGGAGCATTAAATTTTCTTAAATAGCTCTTGAATGTTGTTAGTTTCACATTCGTGATCAATGAACTCCCCTTGTGCACTGTAGTGCACATGTTGTAAAATTTAAATAAAATTAGTTAAAAATAATTTTGTTTTTGTAATGTTTTTTTTTTACCGTCCCAACACTTGATTTATCTGAAAAAAATCAAAATCAAAATACTTTTTTTCCCCTGGGTCTCACCATGTACATGTGAAACTCGAAATATTAGAATATGGTGCAAAAAACTTATTTCAGTAATTCTACTTAAAAGGTGAAACTAATGTAGACTCATTACATGCAGAGCGAGATATTTCAAGACTTTACTTGTTATAATTATGATGATCATGGCTTACACTTATGAAAACCCTGGATAGTATAACCATACATATGTACTCAGTACTTGTCTTGGGCCCCTTTTGCATGAATTACTGCCTCAGTGCAGCGTGGCACGTCAGCAGTGACGTGTTATAGAAGACCAGGATGCTTCAATAGCAGCCTTCGGCTCTTCTGCATTGTTGGGTCTCATGTGTCTCATCTTTCTCTTGGCAAAGCCCGTTCAGGTCACGTGAGTTTGCTGGCCAATCAAGCACAATTATCCCATGGTCATTGAACAAGGTTTTACTAAACCGTCATGATTTTGTTTCTGGGAGTGTCTCATGACAATGACGTAAGCCCGTGCGACGTCCGTGGCAGCAACAGATGTTTGCAGATCAACAATGGAGAGAGTACGACCATGCAGCGTTTAAAGCGTGGAAGTAATCACATTACTTTGAGTTTGATTCTGTAAAAAGTGACAAAAACATCAGCGTTTGCTGCACACTCTGCGCGGAAAGAAAACTTCTTTTTACACCGAAACATTAAACTTCAACTCTGAGCGAGCAGCGAGCACGCTGCCACGGGAATGTGACGTTCACAGAGAAACCCCCAGATCCTCCCACTGACAGGACCGCTGTGGGCAAACTTCCACCCGCCCCACTCCTGCTAAACAGGTGACAATAGATTTAAGAGCTGCTGAGTCTTTGATTTTATTTATTTTCTG